TACACACTCACACTTTGAATGACTTGTTGCCTTTTCAGAGGGGTAGGATGAAACCATTGAAACATTTTGGGTACCAGTGATATCAGGGAAAAAGCTTACATCTACATGAGGCTCTGAGTCGGGGAGCGTTTTCCAAAATGTCTTTGGTCCGCTGCTGGGCAAAGCTGCCTGATGACTTTGTTGTTCTGCCAGAGGACCTTTACTAATGTCATCATTCTCAGCAAAAAATGACAGATCAATGCAAGCACCTTCCTCGGGGAAGGATTTCCACAACAGTGGGGTCTTCTTGCTGCACTTACTCTTAGAAAGCTGTTTGTCCCCTTTTTGATTGACTTTCTTTAGTGAGCTGGAGATGTTTTGCTCTTTGGCGTCCGGCTGTGTGGTAGAGATCGCCGTGCTGTCAGAAAAACTTTCCTCTTTCAAGGATGCGCCTTCGTCACGTTCTTGTGAAACCATTGAAACATTTTTTGTTCCAATGATATCAGGGAAAAAGCTGACATCTAAATGAGGATCTGAGTCGGGGAGCATTTTCCAAAAAGTCTTTGGTCCGCTGCTGGGCAAAGCTGCCTGATGACTTTGTTGTTCTGCCAGAGGACATTTACTAATGTCATCATTCTCAGCAAAAAACGACAGTTCAATGCAAGCACCTTCCTCGGGGAAGGATTTCCACAACAGTGGGGTCCTCTTGTTGCGCTTACTCTTAGAAAGCTTTTTGTCCCCTTTTTGATTGACTTTCTTTAGTGAGCTGGAGATGTTTTGCTCTTTGGCGTCCGGCTGTGTGGTAGAGATCGCCGTGCTGTCAGGAAAACTTTCCTCTTTTGAGGAAACGCCTTCGTCACATTCTTCTGAAACCATTGAAACATTTTGGGTACCAATGATATCAGGGAAAAAGCTTACATCTACGTGAGGCTCTGAGTCGGGGAGCGTTTTCCAAAATGTCTTTGGTCCGCTGCTGGGCAAAGCTGCCTGATCACTTTGTTGTTCTGCCAGAGGACCATTACTGATGATTTCATTTTCAGCAAAAAATGACAGATCAATACAAGCACCTTCCTCGGGGAAGGATTTCCACAACAGTGGGGTCCTCTTGTTGCGCTTACTTTTAGAAAGTTGTTTGTCCCCTTTGTCATCTACTGTCTCCAGTGTGTTGGTGATTGGTTCTTTTTCAATTGGCATTGAAGAGTCCTGCAGTGCGATATTCTCGGCAGACTTCTTCAGCTCCTCAGCTGCGTGCAGCTCCCACCACACTGCAAATGACATCTTCTTCTTTTTGCGCTTTGGTGGCTTGGGTGGTTGTAACTCCCTGTCCACAATGTTGTTGGATGCGACCTCTTCTATTGTCGGTTGGTTGGACTGCATTGTATCCTTTTGTTGATTCGGGTTGTGAATTAAAATCACTTTTCTAGAATATTGGTAAAATTTCAAGTTAAGTTTGATGTCAATCTCCTAAAGAAATGAGCACCAAACAAAGTTGAAGATCTTACTGTGAACTGCTAAACGAACTCTCAAGACAAACGTATCACCAACGGCTGCTAACAGGTTGTGACATCAGTAGATCGATGTGAGGAACTTTTATAATCGCTGGTGATGTCAGAATTCTGCCTTTGGAGTCACATTGTGATGTCATAGTTTCAGAAAGTGTTAGTGGGCTTTTAAACTGTCACTGGTTGCCATAGTTACCAGTGACTATGGTAACCATGGCAGGTGAGGCAGGTAAGGCAGAGCCTCACCTGTAATAATGGAAAAATATGATAAAATGATAAAATAATTTATATATATATGTATATATATATAAAAATTCCCTTCTCACCCACCGCGGGTGGTTCTTATCCTCTGAGCTCGGGTCCTCTACCAGAGGCCTGGGAGCTTGAGGGTCCTGCAGTATCTTGGCTGTGCCAAGGACTGCACATTTCTGGACTGAGATGTCTGATGTTGTTCCTGGGATCTGTTGTAGCCACTGCTCCAGTTTGGGGGTTACTGCCCCGAGGGCCCCGATGACCACAGGCACCACTGTGGTCTTCACCTTCCAGGCCTTCTCTAGTTCTTCCCTGAGGCCCTGGTATTTCTCCAGTTTTCGTGCTCCTTTTTCCTGATGTTGCAATCACTTGGTATTGCTACATCTACCACAACGGCTTTCCTCTGTTGTTTATCCACTACGACAATGTCTGGTTGGTTCGCCATTACCATTTTGTCTGTCTGGATCTGGAAGTCCCACAGGATCTTAGCTCTGGCGTTCTCCACCACCTTTGGGGGTGTTCCCCATTTTGATCTCGGGGTTTCCAGTCCATATTCTGCACGGATGTTTCTGTACACAATGCCTGCCACTTGGTTATGTCGTTCCATGTCCGCTTTCCCTGCCAGTATCTTGCACCCTGCTATGATGTGCTGGACTGTCTCAGGGGCCTCCTTGCACAACCTACATCTTGGGTCTTGTCTGGTGTGGTAGATCTGGGCCTCTATTGCTCTGGTGTTTAGGGCCTGTTCCTGGGCGGCCAGGATGAGGGCCTCTGTGCTGTCCTTGAGTCCAGCTTTTTCCAGCCATTGTAGGATTTACTGATATCAGCCACTTGGGTTATTTGCTGGTGGTACATCCCATGTAGGGGCTTGTCCCCATGATGGTATCTCTGGCACCTCAACCTCTGTTCCCTGTGGTCTGAGACATTCACTGAGCACATTGTCTGTTGAGGCTTTGTCCCTGATGTATTTATGGATCTTAGTTGTTTCGTCCTGGACAGTGGTTCTCACACTCACTAGTCCTCTGCCTCCTTCCTTGTGGCTCGTGTACAGTCTCAGGGTGCTGGATTTGGGATGGAACCCTCCATGCATGGTTAGTAGCTTTCTAGTCTTAATATCTGTGGCTTTTATCTCCTCCTTTGGCCCGCTATTTATTCCAGCAGGGTATCTGATTACTGGCAGGGCATAGCTGTTTATCACACAGATCTTCTTCTTGCCATTGAGCTGGCTTCTCAGGACTTGCCTCATTCGTTGGAGGTATTTAGCTGTGGCCTCATCAAGGTTGCCATTTGCTTGTGGTACAACTAGGTACTTGTAACTGTCCTCTATGTCTGCTATTGTTCCTTCTGGGAGTGAGACCCCTTCTGTATGGATGACCTTCCCCCTCTTTGTGATCAGCCGGCCACACTTCTCTAGTCCGAATGACATCCCAATGTCAGTGCTGTAGATCCTGGTGGTGTGGATCAGTGAGTTGATGTCTCGCTCACACTTGGCGTACAGCTTGATGTCATCCATGTAGAGGAGGTGACTGATGTTGGCCCCATTTTTGAGTCTGTATCCGTAACCAGTCTTGTTGATAATTTGGCTGACAGGTTTCAGGCCTATGCAGAACAGTAGCGGGGACAGAGCATCTCCTTGGTATATGCCACATTTGATGGATGGTTTGCAGTTGGCTTCAAGGGTGGTTTTCCACAGCCTCATCGAGTTTGCAATGAAGGCTCTCAGAATCCTGTTGATGTTATACATCTCTAGGCATTCAATGATCCAAGTATGCGGCATTGAGTCATAGGCTTTCTTAATCGATCCAAGCCATGCACAGGTTGGTGTGTCGGTTTTGCAGTCTCTGGCAACTGTGCGGTCTATGAGGAGTTGCTGTTTGGCTCTTCTGCTATTTACACCGATACCCTTCTGTGCCGTGCTCATGTGTTTATCCATGTGTTTGCTTATCTTGGCCACTATGATGCCTGACATGAGCTTCCAGGTTGTGGATAGGCAGGTTATTGGTTGGTAGTTGGGTGGCACTGGACCCTTTGATGGATCCTTCTGGATCAAGATTGTCCGCCCTTCAGTTAACCATTCAGGGTGAGTCCCACTTTGTAGCAGCTGGTTCATTTGGGCTGCCAGTCGCTCATGGAGGGCAGTGAGTTTCTTAGCCAGTAGGCATGGATCATGTCAGGCCCTGGTGCTGTCCAGTTTTTCATGTCTGAGACTCTTTCTTGGACATCTGTCACAGTGATGGTTACCGGGGCTTGCTCAGGGAGGTTGCTATACATATATGTATATGCATGTATGTATATACTGCCTGGCCAAAATAAAAGTCGCCACCCAAAAATGGTCACACTCTCTAATATTTAGTTGGACCGCCTTTAGCTTTGTTTACAGCCTGCATTTGCTGTGGCATTGTTTCAAAAACCTTCTGCAGTGTCACAAGATTTATTTTCATCCAGTGTTGCATTAATTTTTCAGCAAGATCTTGTGTTGATGATGGGAGAGTCTGACCACTGTACAAAGCCTTCTTCAGCACATCCCAAAGATTCTCAATGGGGTTAAGGTCTGGACTCTGTGGTGGCCAATCCATGTGTGAAAAAGATGTCTCATGCTCCCTATCTTTAATTCTGCTTGTCAGAGTAAAGTTTCCCCATGATGAGACACCAAAGAGCGAAGAAGAAGGAAACGCAGCAGGTTGGTGATGAACACACACACGCACGCACGCACACACACACACACACACACACACACACACACACACACACACACACACACACACAAAGAAACTTTCAACAAACTATGATGTAGACCATTGTTGTCAGAATGTGTTGTCATGTTAGATTTCAAAACGTGATCAGATCAGAGGTCAGAAAAGACCTTTAATCCTTCAAAATATCAAAACAATTTGAAGAAGTTTGAAAGAGTGTGAAGATTTTACCTAATCGATGCATTTAACAAATTTAAAGTTGTCATGAGCAGGAAATAAAAAGCTTTTCTATTAAGTATTCATTAAATATCAATTGGCAAGTTAAGTATTTCACATTGCCATTTACAAATTTATGTAATATATTATTCAAACAGTGCGATATGTTGACATTTTTCTTTATGCGCTATTTGAGTTGGAGGTATTTCATTCACTCTCTGTAAACAATCTGTTTCTTCCCCCTGTCTAGGTGATAAGCCCTTATCCAGCCTCCACTTCCCCTACTTCCTGCTTCCTCCTTTCTTGCGGAGAATGGACTGACAAAACCTTCAGCTTGGCACTTGCCAAGCAGCCCTACCTTCTTTACGTAGCCCTGGATGAGCTCGGGAGTGGGCACCTGCTCCGCAGACAGGCACTCTTCCAGCAGTAGCTTGTTTGGTGGGCAGACTGGCTGGCTCCTTTCCACCCTGCACAGACCACAGTGGGTTGGGGGTAGAAGGACAAATCACAATGAGTTCCAACCTCTCAGTCAACCAGGCCACAGGAAAGATCCAAAGAGAAAGCAAGCGCAGGCATCTACACACACCCAAATGCATAATGGCAGGCTTAGATTATTAAATTGCAGCCATAATACTGCTTCAAAAGGCATCAAACACACAAAGAAGCCCTATATCAACAAATTACAGTGCATCAAGATGCTTTGTTAATGTTACTGCTGCCCTGTGGGAGGTGAGAGGGAAAATACACTCAAGTGAAACAAAGACCCACACGAATAAAAAGCACACGCACACACACAGAATGGAGGAAATTCAATGCAAATCCAGTCTTCATGCTTTTTCCTCACAGACTTCCCTGCTGAGGCCAGCAAAGTATTTTTGAAGAGAGGATGGGGAGTAAAAATCTATTCATATAATGCTGCATTTTCCTTCTATGTACAGCTGAGGAAATCCCAGAGCTAGACCAGAGGAGAGTAATGCTCCAGCTACTATCATCCCTGCTCCTCATCCTGTTGACAAGTGAAAGAAGCCCCCACACCCACGGTTTCCCTTAGCGTGCAGCAGACCGTGTGTGTGCATGTATGTGTGTGTGCACTCTCCATGGCCTCTGGCTCTACATGGACACCTGATGTGAGAGAGGTTAACAGATGCATGCATGCAGGCTGGTGTGACTATTAAAGGTCGAAATAGTAGTTTCCTACATCACGCAAGGACTCTCCACAGAGACTAAGTCCCTCCCTACTTCTACGTTTCTATCAGTGATTCCCAAATGCTGTGCAACATGGATTTTTTCCTCTTCTGCTTCCTTTAACCACCAACAAATCCTGGAATATTTATAACAAGTAAAAAACAAAATCCTATATTCTGTTCTGTTTCTGTTCTGTGCACAGGAACTTTCTGCACACAAACCTGTTTTGCACTATAGGATGTGGATTATTCAACTTGATTTGCATATTTGAAAATGCTGTGACTGTAAATAGTGACACAGGAAGAGGTCAAAAACTTCAGAATATATAAAAATGAATATATAGTAACTTAATTTACAAACTAAAACAACATAGATAGATGAATTACACAGAAACTTATGTGTTCAAATCTTTCATTTTTCATTAAGAATATTACACCAGACCAATTAAAAAGCTATTTTAATTCAGAAATATATCTGTAGAACTAAAAGTATTTAACTTTTTCCCCGTAAAAAAAAAGTTTAGGAAAAATTATGATTCAGAAGACTGTAAACTGTAAAGCTGCTGGTATTTTTAGAAGTTTGAAAATAAGAAACATTGCATAAAAGCAGAGCCACAAAATTGCAGTTTTCACTAAATCTAGATACAAACTACATCATCAAAATTCCAAATTCATACTAATTTTTTAATCAGTCATTAATCAAAATTTACTGGAATTTAAACCAAGTTTGGTACTGTTTTTGTACCAAACTTTTTAGTTACAAAAGAAAAAACATGAACACATCTTGAACATTCTCATTCAGCAGAGATGTTTATCTCATAAATGCAGCTCGTAAGTAATATTTTACTTCATTTAACCACCAACAAATGTTGCAATATTTATAAGTTTATATTGTGTTATCTGCACAGAAACCTTCTGCACACAATTTTAACAGATACGCTGACGAGGCTGTTTTGCAAAACTGGATGCTGATTATTCGTGTTGATTTGTATAATTCAGGTGTTTGCAGGTATATCATGTGATATTAAAGCAACACATGTTTTGTTGCCTTGATACTGTCTTAATTCTGAGAAAAAAAGAAAAATGCAATGTGGTTCATGTAAGGAAAAGAGATGAGAGTGATGCATATCTTCTCATTTATGCTTGTGGTGATGTTTGACCTTTAGTCTAGTATAAGTTTGATTCTAAAGAAGAAATGATGTGGCATTCATTTGAAATATGAATAAATGTTTTATTAAACTTTACTATAAAAGTGTAAGCATTGTGATGACTACAGCTTAGAGTCAGTCTACCTTTCTAAAAACGAACTACAATCCCTTATGGATAATTTCTGCCTAGTATTGTTAAAAACAATAATCATGTGTTTATTTCAAGCAATCAATTGAATTCCATTATAACTGTGTGAAAACTAACAATAATGTCTCCTTAAACCCTGCATAAAATATAAAAATAAACTAAAACTGTAAGAGTATAATCAGAAACTTCTTAGTTCTGCTTTTTATTGTTTCTTCATGGCTGGTTCAACCTCTTACTGGTAAAATTGCCCTTTTCAAGTGGCCCTTTAAAGTCCACACTGGAAGACTTCTGAGGCACAAAAGACTCGTTGATATTCAAAGGAAACTGGGGAACACAACAGGCTTTCGTTCTCCTCCTTTCAGTTCTCTTTTAAGGATTTGCTTGATGAGCTTTCGCTTTCTTCTTTTTCAAAAAGCCTAAATTTTGCTGTACTTGTAAATTTAGGCCTATTCAACTGATTCAGGGGACATTTTAGCCTCTAATGCTGAGCTGGTGGAACAATTATTGATTTGAAAGTTTGACAGTGACTGTGATTGCTCTATTGTCATTCCAACCAAGAAAATGGACATGCTCAGTTTTAAATTTCTAATTTTCCGTGATAGAACAGTTATTATGACCTGAAAAATTGGTCCTGTTCTCATACATTTAAGTCTGAACAGCCCATAAGAGCAGCAGTCTCATGGCTCTGACAATAAAGGTTCCTTTATTCTCAGTTGGTCACGAGATAAATCATAACCACCTGGCCGAGTTGTGCCCCGGGTTCCATTTTGAGAAAAATAAAAGCTTTAAAAGTGGCAGAGATGCTGACCTTAGTAAACTGCAAACATGTTTCCATTCTTTGAAGTTTAAACAATCTTACATAATCAAGTTTGTCCCTGCCAGTTCAAAGAAGCTTCAAAGGGTAAAATAAAATAAATAACTTTAGTCAAAATAAATAAATGGTAAGAAAACACTCTACTTGATCATTACTAATCTAACAATGACGGAAAAATGATTCAGTGTGGCTCAGGGTCTTTCTAAACCCGCAATTGCCACTTAAACTTAATTTGATTTCTTTCAATGCATTCAATAGTTTTGCACAACTTAAGGTAACTAGATTAAAAAAAGTGGGGGAAAAAAACTGATTTTGGACTATCGCTAATGGAAACAAATCTCTGTAGGCAGAAGAACAGAGAAAGAGAAGAAAGACTTAAATGGAGCATTTGTTCCTGCAGGGAGCCTCTGGGTTAAAAATAGCAGCTGCATCACCTGCAGTCCGTCTTCTCCATGTGAAACAATGACTTTTCATGCATTGTGCATCACCAGCTGTCAACCTCTGAGGCCTCCTGTGGTTAGAAGGGTGTCAAATGCCTGTTTGCCTGCCCACCTACCTGAAGCTCCCCTCTGGGCGAATACACCTGCTGTACTCCCCTTCCTCCTGACCCAGATGGGTCGAGTTCTTTGTTGTGCCGTGAAACACGTTGTGACGGACTAATCGCTCCCACCGGAGTTGCACGCTCACATAGAATCTAATTGTTGCCTGTTAATGGCGAGCTTTGGGAGTTGTTCAGCAATGCAGCAGCCACATCGCTTTTTTTAATCGGTGGTTCGCTGGAGTTTCAAATGGAGACCTGTTTATGAATTATTGTTTTTCTTGTGAATTTTTAACTAAAGGCAATATTGTTTACTTTATTTCCTCTAAATCCCTTGATCCAATTCAGTTTCATGTCATTTTTAGATAGTTTTCAAATAAATTTGTTGCCATGCTCACTATCATCACTATCCTAAAAGGTCTAGATACTGGACATGAGGACTCAATGCCAGATTTATGCTATGAAGAACCCCACAAGGCAGTAAAATAAAGTGGAGTGCATACTGGGAGCACTGAGTTGAATCTCAGAAATTGATGTGCACCAGTGAATGCTGTTCACGCACATTGATTGCATCATGCTGAAGTGGCCGAAGATTTACCCGACTACTGGACTTCAGCCACGGAAAGCTTTATAGGACGCATCAACACACCTGAACAGGATTTAAGACAGGAAAAAAATGCCATTTTCCTTCAGAGCGCTGGCCATCAGCTATATGCATAGTGATGCAATATTTTTTCATGCTCGTCTGACACCAGTGGTGAGGATTCCCATTTGGGAATGCTGTGACTGAGAAGAATGGGACAGAGAGATATTAAACACTTCTGAATATACAGGTGCATCTAATCAAATCATTATATTACTGAATATATCTTTTACTTAAATACAGCATCTTGAATAGGTGATCAGTTGTAATTTTCTTCAAATAGAAAGTTGTAATTTGGAAAATAAATTAGTATTAGTCTGGGTTACTGGATGTCACAATATTCTTTTGCACCTGGTCGAGTCCTCTACAGTAGAAGGAGGGACTGGATATTTCTGAGTTGTTATCTCGTCTATCTGCCATATTGGTTTTAACAAAACCTTTTTTGCACTTGTAGCAGATTGCCAGTAGTAGATAGTGTATTGTATGATGCACTAGTGTCCACTTCCATTGTCTGTGCATTTTAACATAAAAATTCACAAGAAACACAAGAAAATTGCTTTTAGACAGCTGTCCACTGCAGTGACCATTATGCATGAAAGGGTTAGTTTACAAATTTTAAACAAAAGAGACGTTGGTGTTCAACGTCTCTTTTGGTGATTATGACAATTATGACAATGATACGGCTTTGTGTCTTAAAACACTATAAAGAGTAAAGCTGCTGGTATTTTTGACATTTTCAACAATGGGATGATTAAAAAAAGTAGACATTTTTTCACTAAATCTATGAAACTACAGCTGTACATAATTGTAATTCAAATGTATTAATAGTAATTTATTAAGTCATTAACCAAAATGTATTTTAGAGTCAGGCATTGAAGTAACATTGCACAACTTCAATGCGATTTTGTGTAAATGTAGTAATTTTATCTAATCTTTAATCTTTTGAACACCTCTGCCTTTATGTTCCAATACATTCCTACCAAACATTGACT